CTTTAACAAAGGCGATGTTCTGTCTTGCTGGTCGCTGGTATCTACTGCATGCGATTTCAGTGCTGATAACCTCTGCAATGACCCTCAGTACTTGGTCGTGGCGCCAACGGTAGCGCCCCTCTCCCAGTGCTTTTGAGCAGCAGCTCAAGATGTGCTCCAGTGAGCCTCCCCTCTGGCAGAGTGGGCACAGTGGTGTCTCTGCTAGGCCCCAGCGGAAGAGATTGGATGGACTGGGGAGGACATCATAAACAGACTGAACCAGGAATTTAATCCGGTGTGGCTCAGACTTCCACAATTCTGTCCACGATATTTTCCGGTCTGCTGCCTGCTCCCATCGAGTCCATGCTCTCTGCTGCCTCATCCCGACTGACCTGCTGCAGCGGATTTCTTCCACCCCAGCTCGGACCTCCTCTTGAATCAGCTGTCTCCTTTCCTTTCCCTGGGCCTTGTTAAAGCGAGGTCTTGGATTGTTCCCGAGTCCTGCCCGTCCAGATGCTACTGCCCCCACCAGCTCACTATGTCGCAGCCGTGACTCAGCCTGATCTACTGCCTCTTGGGCCTTCCACTTCCTGCCGGTTCTGACTTCTATGCCTGCCGAGGAGACCTTGACGTCGCTGGAGTCTCTATACAGTAGCACCTCTCTTGATCGGGTTACCATAAATTCTGAAGGGCAATTTTAGCTTGTTCTTCCTCCCGTACAAGGCGATGTCACTGAGGCTTCGTGGTAGGCCTAGCCACTTCCGCAGGAAACAGCTGACTTTCTTCGCAAAGCATTCGACGATGGTAATTGGCACGTCGTAGACCAGCAGTGGCCAGAGCAGACGGGGCAGGATGCCGTGCTGGTAGATCCAGGCTTTAAATTTACCTGGCAGCCCTGACTTGTCCACAGCCGTCAGCCAGATTACCAACTGGTTAGTTGTTGTCTGGAGAGCTGCGGTGTCCTTCAGGGTGCAGTCGTAGATCTTACCCAGACTCTTGACTGGCTTTTCTCCGACAGATGGTATCTGGATGTCTCCAAGTGAAAAGCGGAACTGGTCTGTAACCTTCCCTTTCTTTACCACCAGGGACCTGGACTTAGCTGGCTTAAAGTCCATCCTAGCCCATTTGATGAGGTGCTCGAGCCCTTGGAGAATCCATCTGCACCCTGGAACCGATGCTGTGGTCACCGTCAGGTCATCCATAAATGCTCTGATGGGGGGCTGCCGTATGCCTGACTTGGTGAGTGGGCCTCTGCACTCTACCTCTGCAGACTTCACTAGCATATTCATCGCCAAAGAAAACAATATCACGGAAATAGTACATCCCGTGATAATGCCCTTCCCAAGCCGATGAAATGCAGAGGTTTCTGCTCCAGAGGTGACTCTTAGACTGAAGGAATTATAGTAATCCAGTATGAGGTTCTTAGTCTTGTCTGGGACGTGGTATCGGTCAAGTGCGGCTTCTACCAGTCTATGAGGGATTGACCCGTAGGCATTGGCGAGGTCGAGCCAGAGGACTGCCAGATCCCCTTTGCCTTCACGTGCCTCACGTAAGAGCTGGGTGACAACTCCTGTATGCTCGATACATCCTGGCATCTTTGGGACTCCCCCCTTCTGCACCGAGGTATCGATGTACTTGTTCCTCAGAAGGAACTCCGTCAGGCGTCGGGCAAGAATACTAAAGAAAATTTTGCCCTCAACACTGAGGAGCGAGATGACTCTGAACTGCTCGATGGTACTTGAGCTCTCCTCCTTCGGAATCCAGACACCCTCTGCATGTCGCCACTGTTGCACCACCTTCCCCCTCCTCCAGATGACCTTTATTAGTTTCCATAACCTCTTCAAGAGTCTGGGGCACCTCTTATAGACGACGTACGGCACTCCACTCGGGCCTGGTGTGGAGCACGTTCTAGCAGCCTTGACGACGTCTTCAACTTCCTTCAAAGTTGGCTCCCTGGTGTTAAACGCCGAGGTGTGTTCCGGCGGAGTTATCAACATTTTACATGGCCCGAGCTCTTTGTCTCTTGCACTGTCACTGTAGGTGGTGCTGAGGTACTTGTTAACCTCTTCTTCAGAGCACGCAAGATGGCCACTTTTTTTCTGCCCGAGGATCTTCTTCGTAAATCCAAAAGGGTTAAAAATGAAGGCGACACGTTTCCTGGCTCTCTCTTTGCCCCTCCTCCTATGCCACTCAGCTCGCCAGAGGGTGGTTAGTCTTTTCCTTAGGGTGTGGCGGAGTTCTGCCAGACCAGCCTTTTCCTCCTCCCTAGCCTGCTTGAACTGCCGCCCGAGCAGTCTGAGCTCACTCCTTAGCTGGCTGATCTTCACTTCCCGTCGGTTTGGCTCTGCCACACCTCTGGTCAGCTGTTGTTCCTTAATACCAAACCTTTCGGCTCCGATGCTGATGATCAATGCTGACAGAGCCCGCAACTTCTGGCCTACACTGCCCCTCACGGTAGCTTCAAGGATTTTGTCCAGGTCCTCATCGAACTGGAGCCACTCTCTCTCCTTGTTGGCAGCAGGCCACTTGACCCGGCGGTGTTCGGAATGTCTGACATGGGGTGGAGCTTGTGGTGCGTGGAGGTTCTGGGCACTGTGGGGTGACTCCGGGCCAGGCTCCTCCTGCGTCTCACCAGGTATTGGACCTGTGCGTTGCACCACTTGCTTCCCGATCAAGCATTTCATTTTAGCCTGGTGGATCTTCAAGCCATGCCGGTTCTTGCAGACTTTGCCACATACGCAAACTGCACTCATTGTCGTTTCTCCATAAGCATTGGTCGTTACCTGTGTGTCCGTCCTGTTGGGGTGCTCATTCTCCCCCCCTCTCGGGCACCCCTGGGGGTATGAATCATTAGGGGTTTTCGTAGCATGTTTATGGGTGCATCCTCACGGAAGCTGCAGTCTGGGTTGCTGGCCCTTGCTTCCCCGGTTACTGTCTTCCCAGTTTTATGTTTAACTTCATTAACGAGAATAGCATATTTAATCTAAATGTTTATCAGAAGTAAAACATAGTTTCAATCATTTTTTTCATTTATTTAAACTGTTATTGAGAACGTGCACTGTATTTATTAGCCTACTCATGAAGATTCATCTGCCGTTAGATTATGTGCGCCAGTTTCACTAAACGGCCCAACGCGCGTGCTGGCTCGGTCTCCAATTCCCTTTGTCTCCTGAATGTGCGTACGCACGGCTCAAAGTTTGCTTAATGGTGCGCACATTCTCCCGTCAAGTTTGTTTTTTATAGATCACAAACTTTGCGTGGAAACTGGCGTACGTACGTTTCCAGCCCCGTTTTGTGCGTACGCACGCTTTATAAATGAGACCCCAGGTGACTGTGGGGGCCATTTTAGTACAGTTCGAGAAACTACTTTGAAATGATTCAAGCTTTGTGACATGGTGCATTATCCTGCTGGATGTAGCCATCAGAGGATGGGTACATGGTGGCCATAAAGAGATGGACATGGTCAGAAACAATGTTTCAGGTAGGCCGTGGCATTTAAACGATGTCCAATTGGCACTAAGAGGCCTAAAGTGTGCCAAGAAAACATCCCCCACACCATTACACCACCACCACCAGCCTGCACAGTGGTAACAAGGAATGATGGATCCATGTTCTCATTCTGTTTATGCCAAATTCTGACTCTTCCATCTGAATGTCTCAACAGAAATCGAGACTCATCAGACCAGGCAAATTTTTTCCAGTCTTCAACGGTCCAATTTTGGTGAGCTTTCGCAAATTGTAGCCTCTTTTCCAATCTGTAGTGGAGATGAGTGGTACCCGGTGGGGTCTTCTGCTGTTGTAACCCATCCGACTCAAGGAGTGAGTATTTCAGTCAAAGTTGCTCTTCTATCGGCTTGAATCAGTCGGCCCATTCTCCTCTGACCTCTAGCATCAACAAGGCATTTTCGTCCACAGGACGGCCGCATACTGGATGTTTTTCCCTTTTCACACCATTCTTTGTAAACCCTAGAAATGGTTGTGCGTGAAAATCCCAGTAACTGAGCAGATTGTGAGACACTCAGACCGGCCCGTCTGGCACCAACAATCATGCCACGCTCAAAATTGCTTAAATCACCTTTCTTTCCCATTCTGACATTCAGTTTGGAGTTCAGGAGATTGTCTTGACCAGGACCACACCCCTAAATGCATTGAAGCAACCGCCATGTGATTGGTTGATTAGATATTTGCATTAATGAGAAATTTAACAGGTGCTCCTAATAACAATTTAGGTGAGTGTATATATATATATATATATATGACATGACATAATGACCACTAGGAGGTGCTCTAGGTTTATGTTTTCCTTGATTGGTTTACCCTGAAGAGATACAAGTATCAACATACTTGTTGATACTTTACTCATAACATTCAACATTTGTTGTGTTTTATCGTGAAATGAGAGTTAAGTGTCTTTATTAAAACTAATGGATTATCAGTGGATAATGGATTATCTGCAGTGTCCACAGATATAACCGTGATCCGCACATCACTAGTACAAAATTACATAAATTTTTTAATGGTAGGTCATTCAGATGTGATGCTTTTAGCCACTGAAATTTGATGTATTTTATTTTTTTTTTTGTGTGTGTGTGTGTGTGTGTGTTTTTTTTTTTAGGTATCGGAGTCATATAGGATGTGTTTCTAGCCCTTAGGGTTCCAAAATCCAAACTGCCACCTTACAGTGACAAATAGTCACGGACGGGTGTGTGTCAGTGTGTCCGAGTAGCAGTGCTCAATTGGGATCAATCTGTTAATTTGAGGGTCTCTACAAATTACGGTCCATGCACTTTTAGGGAGGAAGATTAAGAACATCAGTACAAACGCAAGTGTTCCAGCACTTCGGTGCTTGGACTCGTAATAAAATAACAGTGTTATGAATAATACCGCATCAACAATAAAGTTGTTTCCCCAGTATTATCATATTATGAATAAGGCTGAATAACTGTAGAAAATCACTGACCAAATATGGATGAGATCTTAATGCACAAGTTACGTAAAGAGTCTAAGCTTGTCAATCTTACCTTTGACCATTCCAGAATGCAGTCCAGACAGAAGTAGTGTTCGCAAGACTCCGGTGTGGCCACGGGCTGCTCGTGGAAGGAGTTCAGGCAGATGGGGCATTTCTCTGAGTCCTCGTCTGAGCTCAGGTCAGCTGCATGCACAGGAGCCTCCCCTGCAGCCGCTGCTTCCAGGACGTTACCAGAGTCCTCATCTGAGGAAACAAGTGCGGCGCTTGAGTGCTTTTCCTACTGGGTTTGGTTGAAAATTGTGTGGCCGGTCTTATGATATGCATATTTTAAGGCAAAATACAAACACATCACTCCCACCGATTTAAGGTCCACATGATCTGATATCGACTGGAAAGCACTTTATATGACTGAAATTATATTGTGGTTAGAAATGCTTTTGGTTAGATTAGTTTTATATTAGTTTGGATTCATAATAAAATGTAGTAATTAAGAAACAGAAGTTGCAATCATCTTTTGTTCTATATTGTGAGGTTTTTCTAAAAATGAAACGAATGAGAAATTGTTTTTGATATTTGACTTGATTATTTCCATCAGAATTGATTGATTGATTGATTGATGAAATTTGCTAATTGCTCTCACAAATCATTTTGATTAAAGATTACGAGGGCACGTTAATAAAAAAAAAAAAATATATATATATATATATATATATATACACACATACATATATATATATATATATATATATATATATATATATATATTGATATGCATAAGGGTCAGAAATTAACTTTTTAATTAAGGGGCAATTTTTATTTTTTTAAGGACAATTTTTATAATTCCCTAATTAAATGTATCAGTGTTGTATTTGTCAAATATTTAAATTGAACCAGTTACAATCAATCACAATGCTACAATTTTTTTTTTTTTTTTTTTTTTGCAAAAGTGGAGCAGAAGCAGTATCTGATATGGCACTTTTGTATATTTACACAGAATGTTTAATTCTGTTAAATGTAAATATATGTATGATTATTTCTCTTGATATTAGAATAATGATTATTAATGTTGATTAAAAGAACGTTTTTGTGGGGGAAAAGCACATCATATTCAAAACAAACTAAGAACCATTCATAAATTAGCTTATTGCATTTTATGGAATAGAAAATCAAGACTTCACATTGGTTATTTCAATAGCATGAAAAACAAAACAGTTAATCAAAATGGAAATAATGAACGCAAGCAAAGAATACTGAAGCGAGTCAAGATATGCAAGTATTTCACAAAAACTCCCGTTACAATAACTGAAACTGAAATAAAAGAAATAAGTCTACACTGTAAAATGAATCTCTTATTTGCATCTTTTCTGCACTTTGTTGTTTATGATGAGAATTTGTGCTGAGATTTGTGATGAGAAAAATGCAGGTTCAGAATTCAGTGCAATGAACATGAACTCTGAATCTAATTGGAAATTGCATTCATAAGTTGAACAGAAACGAGTGTGCTTGGTTATAATGCTCAACACTGCATATGAAATATGATGCGACATGAGCAAATCTACTGTAAATGTAATGCCGTAATCGATATTTTTCATTCATTTCACATTGCACTTTAATCGTGATCAAGCTCAACTTGAGGGCTTTAACTTGTTAAATTGACAAGCATAAAAAAAGTCAATACAAGCATGTTAGAGTTAAATCTTACTTTCACTTTCACCCTCATCTTCCTCCTCCTCCTCCTCTCCATCAAGGACATCCTCCTCTTCATCATCATCATCATCATCATCCTCCTCCTCACTGCCTGTTTCTCTTTCCTCTGATTCCCCCTCATCTTCTGAGTTTTCCTCTGATTTGGAATGACATGCAGGAAGAGAAGTCATGTAAAGTGAAAGAGGAAACTAAATAAAAATATGTTTTTAAAATGCAATAAAGCCTAGTATATCAAATTTCACAAATTTCTAAGGCATCCAAATTATCAACATGACAACTCTGCTGAAAAACATGATGTACACAATCTACTACATGCTTTCTGTCATCTGATTGATAGTTAATATTTTTTAGCAAGTAAAAGGTCTTCTAGTATAATAATAAAAATGTCTCCCACCTGGAAGTCATGGCACATGTTTTTTGTTGTGAAATCTTTACTGATTTTTTTTACATTGTTAGTAATATTTCAAGATAAACACTTACTGTAACTGAACTGAAGCACTAGTTCACTTTGAAATTCATTTTTGATATGTTTTAGCTTACCTCAAGGGCATCCAAAATGTAGGCGTCTTTGTTTCCACAGTATTTTCAATTTTGATATTTTTAGGTCAAACCGTACTTGTCTGTCAGTCATATTATGCAGGTAATTGGGGTCCACCTCAAAGAGCATGCACAGAGAAGTCCAAATTAAATATGATTTAATGACTCGTAAATGTAAGTACACATTGATGGCCTAAGACACAAAACGAGTGGTTTGTGTGAGAAAATGAACAGTATTTATATTGTTTTTACCTCATGTAACCAAAGCAACGTCCAAGTGATCTGAGGGCGTGGACGCTTTGGTCTGTGCAAGCGCCGGAAGTGATATCTTGTGCGTGTACGTCACTCACTGTTTACACTGCGATTTCAGAAGTGTTATCTTTCACTGTGAAGATCTAAACATATTTAGATATACAGGAAATCGCAATGGAAGACGATTTCGATATATCAGCACAGACAAAGTTGAATTTTTTCGCAACCGCGCGATCACTTCCGGCGCTTTCTAGCGCTTGCGCAGACCGAAGCACCCTCGCCCTCAGATCACTTGGACGTGGCTGTGGTTACAAGAGGTAAAAACCATATTAATACTCTTCGTTTTCTCACACAAACCGCTCGTTTCATGTCCTAGGCCATCAATGTGTACTTACTTTTACAAGTCATTAAATCATGTTAAATTTGGACTTCTCTGTGCATGCTCTTTGAGAAGGACCCCATAGACCTGCATTATATGACTGACAGACGGTTTGACCTAAAAATATCAATATTAAAAATACTGTGGAAACAAAGACACCTACATCTTGGATGCCCTTGAGGTAAGCTAAAACATATCAAAAATTCATTTCAAAGTGAACTATCCCTTTAACTTGATTTATCCATATATCAAGTTTGATACAAACTTAAAGGTTCAAAAAAACGTTTATTAAAAAAATAAATGCACATGTCAGACTTTACAGGGTTAAATATGGTCTACATAATTTAAGGTCCACCACACATATGCTTCTCTGTGTTGTTCCATTTGCTGCTGACACAAGACCACTTACCGTCATCAGAGATAATGGACATGGCAGGTCTTTTTCCTTTCCCATGGGAGACGTTCCTGTTGATCAGCTCATCCTGGCTGTCCTCCTCATCCATGGTTCTGCACTGATTTAATCTAGATATTTTTCAGCACTGAACAACCTGTAGGGCACATAAGCATCATCTAATGTGAACATCCACTCCAAATGTGACCAAAATGTAAAGCGTCAAACAGAATTAATAAATCAGAAAAATCCAATAAACCAGAATGACTAACTTATAATTATAGACATAATTTATCAACATCCATCTGATAGATCAGTGTACTCATTTTAAAACACAAGATCACACAATCTATTAGTTTAGATTTTTCACATCGGGCTGAAACGTCCTCTTGATTTAGTAGTTTGATACAGATGGTTCAATGCACACATAACTCTCAATGCTTCTATTGTACGGACATGTTATTGACTAGATGCTAACGGCTAACATCAAGCCAGCTAATAAAACACTAGCTAACCTGCTTCATTTTACCCACATTCCAGGACAATGATAATGCGGTTGTAAACATGAAAAACATTCAATGCAAACACCAAAAGTCATATTATTTAGTGAAAGTGAGCCTTGTGCACTTGCACCATAGCTAATGCTAAAGCTAACACGCTATCGATGTTTCTTGTCCTAGTTAGTCTAAATTTAACTCATCAGCTGTTTTTGTTATGTACTATCCAGGCCCTATAGAACAGCTTTTATAGGCGGTAAATGTCTCATTTATTGAATTCATATGGGAGGTTATAATATTGAGTATTTGTACCTACCCTGTAAGGTTGTATAAGACATTATTTGTGTTTTGAAGTCCACTCGGCGTTTGTCTTTGACGCTACCGGTTCGAATCCTACTATGGCAAGGAATTGCTCATGAATATTAATACAAGTTTCGTGAGGTCCGCCCAATGGGGTTTATTGCTGTCAAATTTTACAAATAATTTTACTTTGGGCGAATGTTTTGGCTTACTATGAATATTATTAACAAGTTTACCAAGCAAATTCAGCACGACTTGATTAAGGGGTTCAAGAAACCCTACTTTAATTGTTAGGATTTGTATAATTATTTGCAATTTAGAATCATCAGCCAACACACAATATTATAGCCCCCAGTGTTTTTAATTAATAATACAACTTAAAAATGTTCCACATAGACTGTAAATCTAGATGATTCAATATAAGTTTATCTGTCCAGGCCTACTGTCCAGCCTGCACTGATTATTTTCATGGATTCTGGCTTAGTCCACTTTGTCATGAGCTCTCAGACATCTTTGGGCTCAGCATCCCAGCTTTCCTGGGAGAAATGACTCGAACATTACATTACAGATTTCTAATCATCTCAACCCCTTTTTATTAAACTTACTGTCCATACTTGCCCTACAAAGCAAAAAGGCAGTCTGCATTTTTGGTCAAACAGTTGTTATTATCATTTTCATGACATTCAAGGCATCCTTTGTTATACAAAACATCATATCTCAATTGTGTGTCGTTTCGGAGAAAAATGGTATAGTCGTTTGCACAGTAAAAAACCCATAGTCATTTTTCTCAGTTCTGCACTCTGCATAGTTAACTTACTGCCTTTTTGCTTTGTAGGGCAGCATAGCAAAAACCCCCAAAACAGATTCTACTTAATTGGAAAGACAGAACAGAACTCTCAATTAATCAATCACTCAATTATTATTAGTAACTTCATTATAGATTCGTTCAAACCTGGTCCCCTTTTTTTCAATACCTATCTAAATAGGAGAACTGATTCCTCTTTGTCATAAACCAAAAAAAAACTCATAAGGAACATTTTGTACCGCTTTATATAATACATGTAGCCAGGGGCGGAGCCAGACTTTGTAAACATTCTGGGCATAGCCCAAACAAACTCTAGAATCACAGTCCCGCCCATAGATGGTCACGCCCACAGCCCGAGAGAGCGCTGGTGCCGGAAGTAAATTTCCCATTAATTTCTCCCATTGACATTTTGTAAATCATATCTAAAGAGTATTAGAGCATCATAATTGCGTTCCATTCGACTGTAAGTGGACTGAGAAGTGAACTTCACTGGGTATTTTGCCATCTTAAGAGAGATTCCAATTCGAAGGGAACGAACATGTTCAGTTCGAAGGGCACGTACTGCAAACAGCAAAGGGAATAAGGGAACATTGATACATCACTTCACAGGAAGTCAGTGAAGTCCACTTCAACTGATATACCGTGTTCAGGGAGTAGGGAGCAGTGAACACTTGTGTAGGGACCCTGTCGAATGGAACGCACCTACTGAGGATAACCAGCTACGGCCTATGGCTACGGCTGAACTCATTAGCATACAACATATCATTTCGAGTGAAAAAACGAAGAGAAAATAAAAATAAAAAGTCAAGGGTACAAGCCTATGTATATATTTTCATTTCCGAGCAAAGGAACTACTCCTCCCATAAACCACTGCGCCTCACTAAAGTCGACTGAAAGCCACCATGAAAGAGCCTTTTGAGTGACTTCCAAATCTGACGATGGCCACGTGAACTTTTTCTCCAGTGAATTTTATATAGTGAATGTGCAGGGAAACTCCTTTTCCTAGATTTACTGAAGCAAACACATGTGCAGCTCAACATGCAAAAACATTGAGTATCTGGCTCGCTTATTAGCTAAGCTGTGGCAACTGCACATCCAATGGCGCGGGGGCGTCTCAGAGGTGCGACCAATAAACTTAGCCCTACGTCATTACGCGATCTTCAGTCTTCGCGGGGTTTCAGACATGTGACACGATTTCCACCAATCAGATGCATCACTGTTGGATTGTGGGATTGTTCAGGATTGTGGGTAATGAAGTACTTATCCAATGCATCGCAAATAAAAGGCATTTATCTTAAAACACTTTTGGTGTTTATATGATGAGCATATACGATCGCTTAGTACAGCAGCTGCTTTTAAGTCTACCATGTATGGTTACGTTTTTATGGCTTATTTCTCAAATGTCAAGGGATAAATTGTATAAAATTTTTACTTCCGGCACCGGCTGTGGGCGGGACTGTGATGCTCGAAACAAAAGTATTTTATTTTATTATTTTTAGTCTTTTTTTGTTGTTGTTGTTATTTGTAAGGACACTATATCAGCTCATTAGAACTGATCTGCATGCAGTGAAAACTGCAAAATCCAGAGTAGAAGGTTTTTGAATAAATGCCCTGGAGGTCGCCTCGCTTTCCCTTCCCAGCATGGTGGATAAACAAGCACAATAAGAACTAGGGTTTATAGTTGACATTGAACATTCACATACATTAAGAATAATTTCTCAGCTCTGTAGGTCCATGCCATGCAAGTGCAGAACTTTTAAACTCCAATGGATGACATAAGTAAATTAGATTTTTAGTTTTCCTTTAGACTAACAACTAGTTTATTAATCCCCAATTTACACAAAACGTACCAGCATTTGTACTCAAACCCACACTCCAAACAAGTGGAGTTTGAGTACATCCTCCAGAAGAGCTGTTTGTAGCGAGACGACTTATTTTTCCAGCATGCAAAAAAATGAACTTAACATTTAACATTATCAATGATGTTCTTGTTATGCGCTTTATTTTTTAATGTCAATATTTACTTTCTAGCCATAAGAAGTGTGCCTGATTCTTAAAATTGTCATCCCAACTATGCCCCTGAACCTTGAGCAAGCCAATGGCCAATGAGAGGGGCATGTAGGCAGCATCTTCTTCTTGAAGAACAACTTGAAGAAGTATGTTCTTCAGCAAGGCTCCTGATAACTGAAAAGAGAGCAATAGTTAGCACAGGCCATTAAAAAAAAATGTTAAAAAGCACATCATATAACATTATTCAACTACCTTGAAGATGAAGCATGATGGAGGGTCATCGTCTTTTAACAGCTCACCCTTAAAGAAAAATATAAGTGGATTAAAATTTTGATACACATTTTAAATCATCATTAAAATTGATTATGCATACCTTGCTAAAAACAGAGGGCACAACTGGGATTTGGTCTGCTAAAATGAAGTAATTTAAATCTAGCTGGCCAATATTATAGTTACATAATTTGAAACCCAGCATAGTATATATATTTTGTTTCATATAGGTTTCAGGGAGTGCAGAGCATTCTTCTTCTTCTGAAAGAGGATTAGAATAAAAAAGTGAGAAAAAAAAACATTTTCCATTCATTTTTAATTTGACAAAAAATATAAGCAAATATATAAAAAGCTGACAATACCAGCTACAACAGCTCATTTTCTCTTTCGCCCACATCTTCCACAATTGGATTGTCATGCAACAAAAACAAAGTAAGCGAACTAGTAGAATATCAAAATTAATTGAATGCAAGATGCATTGCACTGATCACAAATTCCAGTCAAGACTTTTGTAAATCAATTTTTACATCTAAATGAAACCAAGACTGAGTTTATTGTTTGCAGTTTTTGTGGAGCCAGTATACAGCACAAATAGACACTGATCGATTGCTGTATGCAAAAACATTTTATTTTACACATTCATTAAAATTTTACCAAATAAAACATTTTACAGTTTTTCTCAATTGCTTTGGCTCAGTTCTCAATTTTTTTTTTATTTCCCAAAACATTAAGTTCAGATCTCTGAACAATTCGCTTCTTTTTCACATCAGATTGGAATTTCAAATTGATTTGAGCAAATTGCAAATGCTTTGGCACATGTGTGCAAAGAGTACATACAACTGTCTGCAGTTTGGACAACAAATAATTGTATATGGCTTGTTGATCAAAACTGATGACTCTATTCTCACTTACACTGTCAAACACTTCAGATCTTCTCAGACATTTTTTATTGTGTAAGCCATCACATTCAAAACGATCTATTCAATTATCATAATTAGTATACATGAACGTATATTCTAAAATATATCTGATATTGACTGTAATGTTTGCTAAATTGGCACATGACTTCTAATTGCATTCGCAATCTAATTGCAAATTACCTCTAATATGATATACATATATATAAGTAGAATAAATATATATATATATATATATATATATATGTATATATATATTGAATGGAGGACATTCACAACCCTGAACTGCAGTAACATGCTCGGGGAAGAGGTGGAAATAGAAGAGCCAGAGTCTCTGATGAAATCATGTGGATCATGTCATAAATCTGACCATTGCAGGGGATGTGTGCGGCATTCAAGGAGATTTTTCCACGGTGTGTGGCAATGGTAACATCAGATGGGATGTTGATGAAAATATTTGGCCTGACCAACGTGAGCGACAAGATGTCCACCAAGAATAATTTGTTTCTTTTTTTTTTTTTTCCATGAATGTTATTTGTTCTTTGTGTATTTGTGGTAATGCACAAATATGAAATGTAAAGTGAAATCTTGTGACTCTTGTCAGTTACTTTACATACAGTAAATACACTTGTATTGTGTATATACACATGAAGTACAAAAATAAACACTGTAAAAATACAAATGTTCATAGATTTTTTTTCTATATTGACTTTTCTCGACAAATATGAAATTTGTTTTTAGACAGTAAACCCTTAATTTTCATGGTTGACTGTTGTGGTGAAAAAATAACTAAACATTTTGACCAGTGTGGCTCACACAATGACAAAAATACTTTAGATTTTGGTGGCCTTGGCCAAATTATTGACAAAATAACTAGGTTTTGAAGCATGAATTAAATGTTTTGGGTGAGTAACTACATTTTGCAGACATGCTATAAAGTTTTGAAGTTCCTGCAAACAGTTGTGACATTTGCACTCACAGTTTAGAGAATGTTAAGAATGTTTCGAAAAATGTGCCAAAGCAATTGAAAAAAACTGTATTTGTTATCCTAAAGGAATTATATAATAAAGGAATATCTATAATCATTTGAAAACA